TCTGTGGTTTTCATTCTCAAATTATTCTATTTTGGGCGTTATGCCTCTCCCTGCTTTTTGAAATTTCTTTTTTTTTTTGTTCTGTTTACATTGGGGCAGTTGTTTTCCGCACGAACATCCCAGAATTGGGCTGAATTTTTTGAGTGTGCCGAGTCTGTTTATCGAAATTTTCTGTATGTGAAGACTTATTTTTTTGCGAATTCCTTTATCATGATTCATAGAGTGAAGACAGTGCAACACTGGCACTGATTTAATTTTTTCCCCCTTATCTTATAGATGCATTCCCAGCAGCAGCAGCAGCATTACATTCAGCAGGGTATTTTGACGAGTACTGCGACGCTTGGGCAAATTGCGCGAAATTTGGCACCGAAGATGACAGTCCCAAGTACTTTTTTAATTGCTAAAGTTTTTTTGACAAAAAATGAGAAATTCCTGAAAAGCTCGAATGGTTTCTGTCGAAAGCAGCAGTATGCGTGGCACTAAGGACGGTGCGCGAAAGTATCAAGGTTTTTGACGTCAACTCCATACTTGCTTGAAGTATACTGAGAATGCTTAATCATTCGGTTTTAGAAGTGCCTTAGTGTTTATCACTTTGAACACGCGTCCTGATGTGGCTTCGTTGATTGTGAAAAGGAGGAAATTACTGAAAATGGGAGGCAGTGGCAAAGGCTTCGCAGAAAACTCAGTTCTGAGATATGGCAGTGTCATAATAGAGTCAAATGTTCAAAGAAATGGCCAAAACCCACAAAGAGCAGGGGGCCAGCGCAAGCTTTTTTTCAATGAAAAGGTATAAGTAGGGATTGCCGATTATCTCGACATAACTGTTCTGTGAAGAACCCGTAGCTCCCCATGTCCTGCATAATGTTGTATTTAGCGACTTCCAGTACAGGGAATTTTTTTGGCTCGGATGCGCTGGCACTGTTTGCATTTGATAAGTCGACTAAGCTCAAGTTGTATCTCGAGCATACATTCGACCGGAGATAATTCCACTGCCCGTGCCAGACATGCATGTGCGGTTTTAATATTCCGTGCCTTTAATTAACTTTTAAAGTTGTTAGTTTATTGGTAATACTAAGACATTTGCTGTACAGGTTCCAATAATATAAAAGAACAAAAAACGTGAAAATCAAGTATCCCACCTGGGTGGGTTTGCTGAATGTTCAGCGAGATTCTTTCATCTGACTCGTTCTGTGTAGGTCGACACTTTATTTAAGTTTGCTGAAGAGCTAGTTAATATGTTCGGGAAGATTCTCGAAGCTGTTGCAATATTTATTTGAAACTTTCTCACCTGTGATCCCGTAACGTTTGTAGTATTTAGACTTAAGTGCTTGAAAGCCACTTCTAATTTTCCTTATAACATTCCCTTGTTGTTGGCCAGCTCTTCTCAGTTACGGGATAGTTCTGTCATTCGGCTCGCAGATGGAAACTGATTTTATCGGAAACTGAACTGCGCAGACAGTTTTGAAAAAACGTTTCACTCAGTTTTTCTGAATAGCAACTTCATCCCAGCTTCTCGGGTATCACCTCTGAATCATGGCAGTAGTAGTGAGGTTAGAACGAATGGGATAATGATGCAGTTGTTATTGCCTGGAAGCAGTTTTTGTTGCACGAAAAATGACAATCATCGAAGAATTGGAAAAACTACTGTTCAATTTGGTTTCTTTTCCCTTCACCGGAGCTATTACTACTCGACTAAGAAGACTGAAAGGAGAAGCTTGCATAGAATTAATCTGGAGTCTGATTGATCGCTCTAAGCCACGCTCCGAAACGCGGTAAGAAGTGCCGCTTTGTATCTCC